GCTAAGAGTTGGTTCGTTCTTACAGCTACAAAGAGATGTTCCTCCATAGTGACAAAATGCAGAGATTTCTGATAGTGTATTTAAAGAAGAACTTAATCGTTGCCACTTCTTCCGTGCTTTCCGATTGTTACAGCATACTTACATACTATATAGTTTAAATATCATCAAAATACTGAAAGGAAAACTAAAACACTTCTCATCATATTTTAACCTTCCAAAATATGAGATGATATGATATTGTGTAATGACATGGTATCTGCTTGACTTTCGATGGAAATAAAATGATATTAAAAAATACTCGGCTATTCTTGAAGAGAATTACGATATATATAAATAATAAGTGATAAACCAAAACTAGTATTAATGCAACGCCAATTGCACAAATCCAACAGAAATAAAAATAATTTTAATATATTTTTTTTTAATAATTTTATTTATCAGCATAATTTGTCAGTTGATTTCTCTTATAAAACTATAAACAAATTGTTAACTAATAATTTTAGTTTTTCGTTTTTTTTTTATGGAAATAAAGCAAAGTATAAAAAAATAGCATATAAAAAATTTATAAGAAATTGTTTATGATTTTGTTATATTTTTTTATATAAAATAGTAAATTAAAAAATAAATTCAAATTTTAATTTTAATACGAAAGGGGCTGTATTGAAAAAACATTTAAAAATATATATATAATAATGTTTATATATATTTGAAAACTTTTGCAAAAAATTGTTTAAAACTTCTTCAAAATGTTTAAATGTTTTACTAAAAAATGAAAAACTCTACTTATAAAAATAAAATTTAAATTATATATATATATATAATTTCTTCGTTATATCTTTTTGTCGTTGCTTTACTCAAATGCAAATCTTATGGCAAGATTTTCGTTTCACATTAATTTTTATTTAAAAAAATAATTTATTTTATTATTTTTTAATAATAATATTAATTTTAATATAGCACAAAAATATTAAGTAATTGTATTATGCATTTGTCATATTCTTTAAATATAAAATTTTCTTCATTTTATATAGTTTAAGTTACCCTTAATTAATATATAACATTATATTAATTTAAATATCGTTTTTATTTTCTACGATAATACGAAATCCATTCGGATTTAATTTGTTTCATTTGATTAATTGCTTAAGTGCTTAAGTGCTTAAGTGCTTAATTGTTTGTATTTTGTATTGAGTTATAGTAATATTACTCGATTTATATTGCTATTTTCTATCTAGGACAAAGACCTTGATACAAGGCGATACAAGACAACGTCTATTACGAGGTTCACTTAACGGCTAAAATGCTTAAGATATTACAAATATTTCTTTTTCTTAGTATTTTTTAAATTAATATGTTGTTGAAATTGTTATAGATTTCAGATTCGAGAAACTCCAGGAATTTATAAAACAATTCACATATATATATATATATATAATATATTCACGAAGTGCTAATAGAAGTTTGTTAATACGAGTTGGAAAAAATAATGTAACTGGCTTGTGTAAAATGATTTATTTATTCGTAATAATATATTTATTTATCATTATTTGTTTTTTATTATTTGTCCATGCATTAATATTTCTTTTTTTTTATTAATATTTATTTATTATTACTTATTGGTTTTTATGTTTAGTAACATTTATTTATTAATTATTATTTATTTGCTTATAATTATTTATTTTTTCATTATTATTTATTTGTTTATAATTAGTTATTTATTTATTATTATTTATTTGTTTATAATCATTTATTTTTTATTATTATTTACTAATTTATTATTATTCATTCATTTCAATTTGTTTATTATTTATTTTTTGCTTGTTTATTATTATTTGGTTATTTATTTTTACTTAATAATTTATTATTTTTTTTTTTAATATTTCTTGCGATACATTATTTCTTAATAGTTACAAATTTATTATAATTATATATTTATTTATTGTTTAAATATTATTTAATTATTAATTATTATCTATTTCAATTTTTATTATTTTGATTTATATTTTTAATTATTATGATTTGTTTTGTATTTTCAATTCCTTTCAAATTAATCTATTACCAATTTTTGTTCTTAATAATAGGATAATAATTATTTTAATATCATTTATATTAATATTGCTTGTTAAAGATTATTATATTTTTAACTACATTATGTATATTATGTATTTAGATATATTTTATTCACTATTTATTTTATTATTTTATTTATTATTTTTTATTCACATTTTTTTATAATTTTCTTATTAATTAATTTTTCTTATTGTACATTAATTTTCTTTATTTATTGGTTGCTAATTAATTAAGTAACTTATATTTTTATTTTTCCTGTTATTTGCAAATTATCAGTATATTGTTACATATATTTATAATTTTGCTAATATTTTAAATTTGTTTTATTTACTGCTGCTAATTTACAAGTAATTAGGCATTTTTATTTATTTCTTTATCTAAAAATTTATATTCCATGCATTTTTTTATTATATATATGTTAATATTAACCTTTCTGTACTTATAAATTCTTATTTATTATTTTTGTTACTTATCAAATTTTTTTATCAATAATTTAAAATAAAAATATTTTATTATATGTTTTAAATAATTTATTTTAATTATTTACACAATTTTATTTAGAGTTGATTTTATATACCTTTTAATTTATTTTTATAATTTAATCAATTTTGTGTTATACTTTTTTACTCATTTTCTTTTATTTTATATTACTTATATGTTTTTTGTTTCTCATTTAATTATATTTATATATTTTTTTTTATCATATGTATTTAAGAATTTATTTATAGTCACATATGTTAATTTTTACTATTTTTTCTTTTTAAATATATATTATAAATTTCATTTTTATTTTTTTTAACTATTTTTTAATTATTCTTTGGTTCTCATTTTACATTTTTATCATTTTTAATTATTAAGCAAATTAATTTAATATTATTGTTTACTATTATTTATTATTATTTATAATTATTTATTCTTACATATTTGTAGAAAGCTTACATATTGTTATTTTGTCCTTGTTTTATATTTATTTTTATTTGTTTATTTTTTATAATTACTAACCATATGTGCTACTTTCTATTAATTGTTATATTTCAATAATTTTATTATACTTTTCGATTGTTTCTTTTTCTTAATTTCTGTTGTTTTTTGTTTCTTATATGTTTGATTTATTCTTATTAATTTTACATTCATTTTATCTCTTATATCGTTTTTTATCACTTCACATATTTTATTATTATTTCATATAGCATATGTATATTATTCTTTTAGTTTGGTTTATATTTGTTTTATTTTTTTATATATGTTGATTCCATTTTAATTTCATCATATAATTTTATAGCGATAATTTTATTTTCGCATATTGTTTTCATTTAAATTTTAATTTGTTTTTATTTTTTTTTTATATATCTGTAGTATTTTATTTTTCTTGTGGTTTTTTATTTAATGAAATATTTTTTATTACTTTATTTTGGTTCATATTATTCATATATACATTTTTATGTATATATAAATAATTTTGTTATTTTTTGTGTTTTAGGTCAATATACTTTTTATATAATATACATTTGTTTAACTTAATATTTTTGCCTTATTTCCATTATTTTTTGTACTATTACATAATTTTATTTTTTTCCACATTGAATCAATTTTTAATCAAAGTATTATTTATTACTCTATAGCTTTTTATTGGATAATAAAATAAAATAAAATAAATTATATATTGGATGTGTAGCATGTTAAGCTTATGATCAGAATGTTAAATAGATAACATTAGTTTACAGGCAAAAATTTTCAAAGATGACCCCTACATTTTCTACAGGGATTTTCCGTAAAACTGAAAAATCATACAGATTTTTTTCTGTGTATCGTTTTCGAGTTATTTGCGAAAAAACGTTATTTCGATACACAGAAAAAAATCCTTGTGATTTTCAAGTTCTACGGAAAGTTTCCCTTTAGGAAATATAAGACTCGTTCTTGGTAAACAAAACTTTTATTTATTTATTAACTAGTGTTATTGGTATCGAATCTATTTTGTTTATGGGATAATGTGATAGTCACAGTTGGGTTATATTTCCCCAAACTTCTATTACTTCGGTATGTGAATAATTGATTGAAATTAATTACTAAATTAAAAGTATATTTCAAAAATTTGTCAATAACTATCAACAGCACATTCATAATTCTAATTAATGATTATTATTTAAGAAATTGTAATATATAAGAATTATTCGAGTATAAAATTTGGGGTAACAGATTGTCAGATAACATCAATTTAAATCCTGGTACAGAGATAAATGTACATACATGTATTGTTGTTATATAAATTATTTTTAAAATATATGTATTAATGTTTTATATATTTATAATTACTTTTTGAAATGCTTTTAAATATTTTGTAAACAAATTTCATAAATATCTCTTATTTATTTTATATATATTTTTTTTAATTTCGTTCAACATAATCTGATTTATTAATTGACTCGTTTGGAAGACAATAAATATTTAATGAAATTTATATTTTTTTACAATACAAACTATATTATAATATTCTAATAACATTTAATGAAAAATATTTTAAATATTATTATTTAAATATTTTTGTAGTATTCTCGTTGCTATTTGTATGAAAAATGGCATTTATTCAGACCAAAAATTATTTAATTAATTTCAAGTTTTACAATTAAAGTTAAAAAAATATTCTAATTACTAAATAAAAATGGCATAAACTAGATGTTATTAATAAAATTAAAAAAGTGCTTAACTATTAACACAAATATTTATATATCTTAAAGTATATTGTTTGTAATTAAATAATCGCTAATATTAGTCCGCACAGCATTTTTAATTTGAATTTAAATTTAATATATTTTTATATTAAAAAATTCATTTCTCATTAATTTTTAATAATTTTATTTAATTAAGAAAATTTTAAAACTATCTCAAGTAATTTCTAATTTCAACTCATTACATTTTTTTCTGAAGAGTTGTTTTGTTTCTAACTCGTTTTCAATTCGAGTATAAGTAAGTTTAAACATATTCCTCGGAAGCTTTTTGTACACTTGCAGGTATGCGGAGCGATGGTGGTACATGCGGTTCACTAACTGTATCTGGTAATTCGGCTATATCCTTAAAAACTCCCATTAGACTTTCGAAATTTGGTCCCCAATTAAGTAAATAGTCCCAGCCGAGTGTGGTTGCAGATGGTGAGGTGGCGCCGCTTGGTTGTCTGTAAATGCCGCTCATATGTGTTGATAGATCATCGTCACTGGCAACCAGTGTACTGAGAGAACCCCGAAACGATGAATCGAAACCATCATATGAGTGTGGTGGCATAGGTGGTGCTTTACCAACACTACCACCAACGCCAACACTATCACCGCTAAGTGCCCGACCAACAACGCTTCTATCTGGCAAATCATCGGAAACACTCTTACTGGTTGTATATTTGGCATCACCACTCAAACTGTTGTTATCGTATTCTATTTCGGAGCAAGTAAAGCTATCATTTCCGCTCTCGTCGGTCGATGTGGAACTGTGTGCATCTACATCCGCACTATGCAGACCACCACCAAGTGTAAGATGATGTGCACCGCCTGGCACACGTGGTGCTTCACTGCTCGATGAAACTGCATCAAGTGTGGATACCAGACTTGAAGTGCGAGGTCGTACATTGAGACGTTCGATTTCTTCAGCTGTTAGGCCCATCGAAGCTTGTACTGGTGATTGTGTTGGTACGCCTGGTTTCTGACGACTGGCACTGGAACTTTGCCCGGATAGTTGTGACATAACTGGACTATTTAAGCTGCGTTCACTATTACTATGCAGTGCATCTTTACCCACACCACCTGAACTCGAGGTAGTTGCAAGTAAAGCACTTTGTAGTGGCTTACCTGAGATATCATGCAACGTCAATATGCGTGGCTGCTGTGAGCTTAATTCAGAACTCGGTGACAGACGTGCAAGTGGCGTGCTTTGATGTGGTCGTGGTGTACTTGAGGGTGGCGGTGGTTGACTAGCTTGTGGAGGAACACGTGGCACAAATGGTGCACCTACACCATGACGTGGAGAATGCCGATGTTGTTGTTGTGTTGCTGTCGATTGGTGTTTGTGATGTGTATATGATGCAACTGGTGGTGGTGTTGCTTTATATTTGCGTACTCCGCCTGCTTCACGATATCCTTTATAATGGTAGACAATATCTATATCAGAAGGTGCTATTGAGCTTGCATTTTCTAAATCGTAATGCTCTGGGTACTCGGACAGATCTACGGAACTAGGATGATCATGCGGATGATGTACTTGATTTGGTGGTGGTATCGGAGGATGGTGTTCATCACGTAGTGGTGGACTTTTGCTTACAACTTCACGTTCGATAATGTCAGGTCTTTGCGGTCGCTGCTGATGATCAGCTGGACCAATTTCACGCTCTTTGTACTTTTTGGATATAAGTTCCGGCCCAACGAGATGATGTCCAGGTACGCTACGTATTAGATCGCCATTATCTCCATGATAACCTACTTGAGCGTCAGTTGCGTGTACATTACGTGTAAGAACATGATCAACCTGGTTTTGTGATACGGCAGATCCACTTAGCATAGTAGCAGCGCTACTGTGTTTGATTTTAAAGCCGGGTACGCCACAGCTTAGACCACCTATTTTTTCTTGCTTTCCACGGAAACGGTATATCACATATGAGCCAAGTATAGCAACAAGTAATATAATGAAAAATACTATAACTAAAGTAATGCCTATGCTTAACGGATCTGAGACTTGTGCAGCACCAATGCCAATGTCACCAGCACATCCTGATATAATTTTCCCGCGTGTTAGAACTTCACTGAAGACGCTGCCGGATCCATTAAATGGTTGTATTTCATTATTGATTGTGAAATTGGCAATGCAACCTTCATAGCTGATCGGCATAATTTCTTGTTGGAAATGTTCACGTCTAACGCCACCCACTGACAATACTGTCAAGTACGGATCCAAGAAGTCATGAACTCCAGAAACATCTAATTCTTCACCTGTCTTTACGTTGTCGATCAACAAACGAAGCACGCGATTTGAAGCGAAGAGCGTGACGTTATGCCATTTCCCATCATTAAGTTTTTCTGGTTGGTGTATGGTCATATTTACAGTTGTACCCTGCTTTGAATAGTAAACCAATTTGCCTGTCTTCAGTTCGATAGCAGTAAAATGTTTATTAGTAGCAGCGAAAAGAATCAGACCATCTTCTTTATAAGTGCGAAACAGGAGACTGAGTGTTTTTGGAGATTCTTCGGTTTGCGGTAAAGTTGTTAAGTTATCACTATTTACAATAAAACGACGGCGGCGTGATATATCGTAAGTCCAAACACTATTAGCTCCATACAGGTTATCCAAGAGCTGCATGCGCCGATGTTTTTCCGATATTTGAAATTCTACAAAGCCACCGTCTGTTATGGTTATAGGTTCAAGTGAACTGAAGCAGTCAGGTGACAATAATTCACTACCACATTGACACATCGCAGAGTGCCAACGATCCATGCAGGTACCGAATGTGCCACATAGTGATAAACTGGGATCTGTGGGCAAACTTTGTTGACAAGGTCCTCCGTTTGTATTGCGATTACAGGTGGGAAGAACGCCACGTTGTTTGAGAGGACTGCTCATGTTTAAAGCTCGACCGTTAATTGACACACTATGCATGCAGCCAACTAAGTCATCGGAATGTAGTTGTCCAGGGCGCTCCAACACAGGATCAGCTGACGACAAGCCACCAATAAGCAAAGAATGTTTATTGAAGTTAAGAGTTCTGTAAAAATAAAATAATTTAATATAAAAAATTACATTAATACAAAAAACTATTCTAGCTTTAATGAATACAGTTAATAAAATTTTATAGTTACTGTTATCTGCTTTGTTATAACTTTAGACTTACCCAATCGGTCCAACTTCATCGGCATAGCAGTTCACATCGCCTGGTCGACATTCTTCGCATAAATCACCATTTTCTGTACATTTTGCCACACTTAAGGACATAACACGTCCATTTCTTGTAGCAGTAACCTTATGCCATTTACCATTAGCTATGCTGTCTTTATTGTTAGACCCAACTACAATAGTAGTTATTGCTGTTCTGGCACCACCAAACGAAAATAGGGCCTTGCCTTTTACCACTTCGATGGCCAGAAAATCGGAACGCCCACCAGATTGTACGCCGTAATTGTAAAGTAGTAGAGCATCTGGCTTAGTTGTAGCAAAGATAATAGAAATATCATTCGTGGCAGCATCAAGAGAAGGAAATGTCATAAATGACAGTTCTTGAAATCCAAATGTTGTTTTCTCGCAGTGGCGTCCATAACGACCATCAGCGCAGCTACATTTGTAACCAGGCTTCAGACTAACGCAGAGTCCACCATGAAGACAGGGATTTGGACGGCAGGAATCTGCTATATGTTCGCATTGATTTCCACGATATCCAGGTCGACATAAACAGAAAAAGGAAGCTCCATCTGGACTGCGTCTACAAGAACCACCATTACGACATGGATTGCCTGTACATACATCGCCACGTTCCTGTTGGCATAATTTACCCTCGCGGTTAGGTGGGCACGTGCATTGGAAATCAGAACTAATTTGACGACATGGTACGTTCGCATGACATGGATTTGGTGTGCAAGGATCTTGGCGTTTATCGCATTGTTGACCCATGAAACCATCAGGACACTTGCAGTTGTAGTCATAGGAGACAGTTGGACCAGTCAGTATAAGAGTTTGGCTATCCACTATGTTTAGCGTTTGTATGTCATGCACGCTTATTTCTGCGCTGCACATGCCACCGTTCTCGCAAGCATTGGCTGCACAAGGACTGTAACCAATCACCAAACGATCCGGAGCTTGTAGTAGTCTTTCGATGGCATCCCGTTTCTTATTTAATATGTCGATAATATAACGTGGTAGTCGATATGCTTGGTTTGACATTTTTACAGCGAGCAATAGTTCCACGTCTGTTGAGTTTGCACCAGAATTGCGAACGCTGTAAAGATTAACCTCATCGCCATTTTCAAATATACCTTTGATCATTTCTAGAAAATTACGATAATATGAAGATAAGAAGTATTCTGCAGTCATGTTTCTTATGAATAGTGTAACGGAATTTGCCACTGTGGAATTGTCGAAATTTTGGAAACCCAATGTAACGGTGGATACTACATCTCCATGTTTGCCATCGTTACCTGACACAGCATAAGAATAACCAGTCATTGTAGTTTGATATGTGGTGTGCAGATCACAAGCGGTTGGTATGCTTAGTAAGCCTAGTGGACTAGACTGAGCGCTGGGCACAATGCGACATCTGTAGTTTCCTTTAATATCAGCGTCGTTTGGATGTACATTTGCTATCTTTCCTATTGGTATTTTATCATTGAACACATTGAGCAAGACATGTACTGTTCGTGGAGTGGAAGGACTATCATTCTGATCCAACACTTTTATTGTCAACATATGTTGTGCGCGCTGTTTGGGTTTGCCATTGTCTTCCACTTCAATAACTGCTTCTAAGCTTGGTGTTGCCTCTCGATCAAAGCTTCTAGTGGATTTTATTAGGCCAGAGTGTTTGTCAATACTAATGTAGGATTTATGCTTGCCACCAACCAAATAGTAAGTGAATGGCCCACCATTAGGTGGCAAGTCTGGATCACTAGCAGTGAGAGTCATAATCGACGTGCCTGTAGGTTCATTTTCAAGTATATAACCTATAAGACCACCTGCTTCAAACGTTGGCCCATTATCATTCACATCTTCCAATTCGATTTTGACAGTCGTTGTGCCAGTTTGAGGAGGAATACCCGTATCTATTGCACCAACAATTAATGTGAAAATTGGTTGCTGTTCTCGATCTAATATTCTTGCTGTTTCAATTTCACCAGTTTGCGGATCAACTTTGAAGGACTGATTAAAGTTACCATTTATAATGGAGTAGCTAAACTGATTGTTTTGTGGGCGCACATCCTTATCAACTGCTTTCACTGTTGTAATTTTTGAGCCAATAGGTGCTGCTTCTGATATGCTAGCCGTATACAGTGGTTTTATAAATTCAGGCGGATCATTTCCATCTTGTATAGAAATAATGACTTGCGCCTCATCAGTGTCGTTGCCGCGTATACCGCCATAATTCTTAGCCATTACAGTGAGAACGACACGACTTTGTGTTTCGCGATCTAGATGTCTGGACACGTAGATAATTCCAGAATTGGCATTGATTGAGAAGCCCTTATCGTTACTGGAACCCACGAGTAGGTAATATACTTTTCCATCTTCGCCTGCGTCTTTATCAGTAGCTTGTATTGATCCCACTGAAGTGCCTACTTCAGCGCTCTCAGACACATCGAAATGGAATACTGGCTGCACAAATTGTGGATAAAATTCATTCACTCCGGTTATGTGTACAATCACCATTGCAGTAGTTTGCATGTTTGAGTCAGGATTCGCTGCCATAATCTGTAAGTTGTAGTCTCGCCTTTCCTCGTAATCAAAGCTGATGGTCGATACGATTTCGCCTGAGTTCATATTAATCTTAAAGAAATTCTTGCCAGTACCACCAGTTATAGAATACCTTATAATAGCGTTCTTTGGGGAATCCTTATCAGTGGCAAAAGCTTTGAAAACAAATGTATTTGTTGGTTTATTTTCCGGTATAAATGCGTGGTATTCACTTTGGTTAAATATCGGAGGATTATCGTTTATATCAGTTAGTATGACAGTTAGCATAGCCACTGCTGATTTTGGTTGAAAAGCTAAGTCTTCTACTGTTATGTTTAAGTGGTATTCCTGTATAACGTCGTAGTCCAAAGGCTTAAGTAGTGTAACGGCACCAGTTTGAACGTCAACATCGAACTCGGAGCGCTCATTGCCACCAGAAATAAAATAGCGCAGCATGCCATTTGGACCATCATCTCTATCTGAGGCACCCACTGTTAAAATTGTAGAATGTATAGGCTCATTTTCAGGTACGATTACTTGGTAACTCAGTGCTGTGAACACAGGTGTAAAGCGATTTTCTCCAGTAACTATGATAGACACACGTGCTTCATCTGATTGTGCGGGAACACCACGGTCGGTGGCCTTAACAACTACCATGAACATCGAGTTTGGTAGCACGTTAAGTGGTTTCGTGACTGTGATCCAACCATCATGCTTGTTAATGGCAAAGTATTCAGTGGCATTGCCGCCAATAATGACGTAGTCAACCTCAGCATTAACGCCATAATCCAGCTCATCAACTGCGTGCACTTTTACAATACGTTGGCCGATCTTTGCATGCTCTGGTACTGGTGAGATATACAGTTTCTGTTCGAATACAGGAGGATTATTGTTGGCATCCACAATATTTATATTCACTAAGCATTCGGAGTACATTGGGGGCTTACCATTGTCGGTAGCTAACACAGTCATGGCATACATATTTTCAGGTGAGGATTCAATCTGTGAATGTTTGTACTTAATTGTGCGTTTACTAAATATTTCACCCGTTGCCGGATCAATTGTAAACAAATCAGAAGGATGAAGAAGTGAGTAGGAAATAACAGAGTTGGGTCCTTGTTTATCACGATCAGTAGCAATAACTTGGCCAACAAATGCAACTGTACGTTGGAGTTCTGGGAAATTGAAACTGTAGTAGCTGTGCTCAAATTCTGGTGCGTTGTCGTTTTGATCCTGAATTGTTATTGTGATTGGCGTCTCAGACCGCCAAGCGCCGTCAAATGCGCTTATTTTAAGCAGGTATTCGTCCTGCTGTTCACGATCTAAGTGCGCTGCCACAGTAATATTGCCACTAATAGGATCCAATTTGAACTTATCACCGGGATTTTCAGTAAAACTATAAGTTGCATTGGCATTGACGCCAATATCTAAATCTGAAGAAGTAACTCTTATGACAAAGCTACCAATTTCAGCGTTTTCGGTTACATTAACAGAGAAAAGACGTGTGAATTTCGGTGGATTGTCATTTTTATCCAGCAAATTTATAAGCACACTAGTGGAGCCCACAAGTTGTGGCATGCCTTGATCTACTGCTTCAACAATAAGTTCATATGAGCTAGTTTCTTCACGATCTAAACGCATTGTGGTATATATTTCGCCGGAATCTGAATCTATTTCGAATGTACCTTCAAAGTCATCGTTTAGACGGTATGTTATCTCACCATTGTCACCAGAATCGCGATCAGTTGCTTTCACTCTGACTATAAATTGTGGTGGAGGTTCTTCTTCCAATATTTCGGCATTATACACCAACTTTTCCATAATAGGTGCATTGTCATTGGCATCTGTTACGTTTATGGTAAGTAACATAACACTTCTCAAATTTGGACGATCTGAATCCGAAGCTTCAATCCATATTTCATACTGATGAGATGTTTCATAATCTAAACCATCTTTTCCAACAGACATAACGCCAGTACTGGCATCAATCCGTATGGCATCACCTATATTACCACCAGCAACGGAGTAACGAATGTTGCCGGCTGGACCTTTCTTTGGCGAAGTTGCTATAATATTAGTTATTAGTTTACCTTCGAGCACATCTTCTGAAAGTATGAACTGTGTATTGGGCATATATGAGAATATTGGAAAGAGTGTAGCTGGACGAAGCAGAATAGTTAAATCGGCTACTGAAGATTTTGGTTCAAAGCCTTGATCGGTCGCATGCATGATTATGCTGAAGATCATATCGAAACTGGAGTTTTCATTAGTGTTGAGTGCTGTCTTTGTTTTTATGACGCCTGTTTTAGGATTAATGACGAATGTATCCATATCCTTACCGCTTATGTTGTATGTAACAAGTGCATTAGCAGCGTCATCTAAATCAATCGCTCTGGCGCCAAATACAAATTCGTTGGCTTTGATGCGATCAGGTACGTTGACATTGAAACTGGCTGCACTGAATTGGGGTGTGTTATCGTTGATATCTAAAATTGTTATAGTCAAATTAACAGCAGTAGCACGTGGCTCTGTGGCAGAGCTATCTTGTGCCATTAATGTGAGATGGTATGCTGAGGTGTCCTCGCGATCCAAGACGGCAGCCGTGGTTATTTCACCTGTGTCGGTATTTATGTTAAATTTGTCAATTTTATCACCAAGTAGAGTGAAACGAATTTTGCCATTCGGTCCAATATCTTTGTCAGTTGCCACAGGCTGAAGTACTTTTGTGCCAACGGGTAGGTTTTCTTGTACTGTGGCTTGATATGATTGGCGTGCAAATTCTGGACTGTGATCATTCATATCTTGCACTATGACACGCACAACTCCTGTGCCGGTTAGGGGCGGGGAACCTGAAATTGTAAATAAAAAAATAATTGACTTTTAGCATACATAGAAACATGTGTAAGAATTTTAAAAATGGAAAATTTATGTACACGATTAAATGTGTTGATGTACATATATGTAAATAACAACGAAGAATGCAAAAATTAGTACTAATTTAAGCAATTTTTGGTTCATTCTTTCATTTTTTTTTTAAATTTTATTATTTTATTTTATGTTTTTCTACAACATTCTTGATTTATGGTAAAGGTAGTAAATTATTTACTTGAAACTGATGGCATCAATCAACTGTTATATGCTAGTGCATAGAAATCAAGGCGATTCATATGCAAAAGAGTGAAAAGTACTTATGGCTACAATCTCAGATATAGAAGATTTTGCTTTATATGTGCAATTTTGAAAGTAATCTGCATATAGACTTGCATACTTCATAAATTTTAACAAGCAACAGAAAATGAAAAATCGAACATTTTTTAACAATAAACTGAGTGTGATGTTGCAGAGATTGTGGCTGGCAGAACATATGTAATGTACAAGCCACACTACACTACACTGAAGACACGATCATATTCAAAAAAAAAAAAAAACAAAGGAGTAAAAAAAATAAATACGATTTTAAACATGCCAAAAAAGCAACTAATACCGATCTTGAAAGCGTAACAAATTGTGAATTTGCTGAAACGAATAAACCTACAACACAGCCAAACAACACCAACGAAAGTATCTGAACAGTCAAGTAATAACAACTACAACAACAACTACAAGCACAACTACAACTACAACCACAAAACCAACAACAAGCAACGACACAAAAACAATTGTAAACAAAAATATGCCTATCTAGATAAAATAAGAGCAGCGGAACGGATTCATCCCAATCGAATTCTACTACCAAACAGCCCAGATACAGTAAAGCACTCGTTTGTTCTAATTTAACGAGCAAATTGAAATATTACCATAAAAGGATTTGAATATACTTCAGTTGCCTTAGCAATGTTAGCCAGAGAAAATCGTACATTCGCCACGAACATCGCAGTACCAAAGGTCCGCGTGATTGCTGCCATGAATTGTCGCTGCCAACTGCAATTGTCGCTAATAGCATTTATATTGCTGCAACAATTGCAATGAACTACTTCAATCAATGATTTCCAGAGCAAGCTTTCATGCTCTTGGAATGCAGAAAAATATTATAAAAATAGATTTATTAAAGGGGCTTGTGACTGAGTGGGGGCGAAAGGTGTGATAAAAGAGGGAATCAAAAATTATGTGAAAATTAGGTAATGTGATGTTGAGCCTTTTCCGAGTTAGTGCATCTGGGCACTTTTACTCTTTGATAGCTGGGGAGTTTCTGCAGAGTCCCACCCATCTCACTGACTAATTTGAGTATTCCTCATAATCTTCGCGATTATTCAGTGACTGATCTAAGATCTCCGTACCGCCCCGTGCGGTAAGTAATTACTCTAGCACTAACTAGTGGCAGATAAAAAAAGGAGGTTTGGAATAAAAGATTGAATACCGTCAAATATTTTAAAAATAGTTCGCACGAATGAAAGTCAATAGTAAGAGAATTGGACTGCTTAGGGGCAGGATGTCGAATATAGATATCCTCATCTTTTTTTTTATGTTGAAACTATTTGAGTCATTGCACTTGAGCATTTTTACGCTTTCTTACCTCAAAATATTTTCAAAACCCCTCTTTACAACAATTTTAAAACCTTTTGAAATAATTCTATATAGAATTTATGTTTACCACTCATTTTTGCAAGAATTTTCACACTGAAAACTGATATTATCAAGGGAATATTAAAACTGACTATTAAACAACCAACTAGTATGGATTCGAAATACAATCAGTAGCATATAGTAGGGGAATTTTTTTTAATTAAATATTTTCATATGAATATCAAATTAGTTCTCAAAAATCCCTCTTTAAAGAACCTTCATTAAAGCTACTGTGTCCAATGAACAGCTGTTATAAGTAATTATTTTAAAGCCTTTCAATTCTCTTAAATAATTTTTTCTTTCTTTATTCCGAAAATAGATACTTAACAATTTAAACTATAAATTTCATTGCGTGCACTTGGAGCAACAATTTTTAATTAGAAAAATTGTAGTAGAGTTTTTTATTAGGTTAGTTGCCCAAAACTAAGGCGCACGTACTTGTTAGTAACTGTTTATTGGGACATGAGGCATTCAGTTGATTGCATCTGAGTGGACAAAGTCACATGTGTGCTAAGAAGATTTTCGAATGAATATGAATATAATTTGTGAACTCCTTCATACCCTACATATTATTCTAATATAGTTATCTCAAACTAGTTAATATGTTTGTAACACGGGAATGGGTATATCATTCGATATAGTAAGGATAATCGTGTGACGTGTACTTTTGTTTATTTATTACGTTTGTGCATTTAAATGACTTTCCAATATAAGTTACGTACTATAACTAATGATATATTTAAAAAGAAATCAAATAATGAACTATATAAAAAAAATTTACGGATAGATCCAGATTTAAAAAGATATCGTAAAAAAGTATATACTGGAATACTGTATTATTAGTTTTAGGTTTTTTAAAATCTATTTAACTTAGGTTGAAGTGACAGCTTTGCGCATCAAATATCACTTGATTGCAAATAATGGTCCATTTCGATACTTTACTCGCTTAGTAAAATACCTCTTCGAAATCATATGCACTCGTCTATGGTTTTTATATAAAATCAGTTTTATTTTAATACCGCACTCTGTAGATCTGAATAGACGTTGGCAATTGTTATCAAGAAGAAAAGCGGCTTCGGTAACGAGAGTAACAAAATTTTAAATAACGAAGAAATAAGTCGCAGCTAGAGTAACAGATGAATAGCAGAAAATTGTTCAGTAGCTTTAGACCCTTAAAGCGCTATTAAACCGTGGAAGAAGAAGATCAGAATTTTAAGAGTAAAACGGAACAGTCTGATTAAGTTTTTTTTTTAAATTTTCATAGACTAAATTTGATCAAAAGTAAAATTAGAATGGTTTTCCAACAGATTTCTACTTATGTATATGCCGATGGCAATTGTCACAATAAAGTGAATCATGACAATAGAGTAGCATAAACGTAAAACTTATTTAGATTCCTATTTTTTAGGAATTCTCTAGATATAGAGATATACTAATAACAACGATCGAAACCGACTTCATTAAGACATTATTTAGCAATCTAACATAGATTGAGTTGGCTAAATTGATCATACGGGGCTAACGAACAATAAAGAACGCCCAAGGAAAAAATATGTATGAAGAAGAAACGGGTGGAAACTGCGCCTTGGGTTGAGTGGTAAACATTGAAGAAAACTAACTGCATTTTATGTAAGAAACTTTAGAATTTTTGTGCAAAGTACTATTAGAGATATGATACCCGACAGTAAGTTACTAGGTTCAGTAATGGGTGTAAGTAAAGATAGTGTAATATTGGAATATAGGTTCCGATTAGTATACATCTCTATAGCAAGTATGTATAATTCATTCTTCAACAATTTTTAACTAAACAAAAGATAATCCGTTTGTTTATCAAGACTTGATTAATAATATCAGATCAAGTTTTTTCACCTAGACATTCATTTAAAATATAAACATACACTTACAGTCGGAGATGCAGCTCCCTCTTTTCATATATAAAAGTGAGAATAAAAAAGTCTTCTTAATCGAATAGAATTAGTAACGCTATTGGTGTCCACTTAAGAGAGCTTTCACTGTATTTTCTCTATTACGTTAGGTACATTTTAGTGTATTTTCATCAAGGTGTTGTGTCTTTCTATTTTATTTCAAGATCATCATGTTTTATAACCCATTAACCAGCAACAAAAGAAACACACATGCGTAATAATTGATTCCAACTAGACCAACTTAAAATATAATTACAACAACAATCAAAGAAGAAAGTATGCCCTGGAGATGAAAAATGAAAAAATGAGAAGAAAAAAAATAGTTCTGAAAAATTTTACAAAAATGGATAGAAAAAATTGCTGAGGCCATTTCTCGCTGGTTTCCGTTGAAATCAAACCCAAAATAATTGAACAGAACCAAATGGCAACCAGCATTGCAAATGCGAATGAGAAACGCACAGCAATACCCCGCGATAGAGGATCGCACACAAATTAGAAATAAAAAGTTAAAGAACAAAAAAAAGGAGCAGAAAAAATACTGCATGGCAACACTATTGAAGGCGGTATATGCACGTATGTGAAAATGTCGTGAGCTCAGTGTGAGTAAAAATTTTTAACATCATCAATCGTGTTTGTGGATCTTGGCTTGAAGACACATTAAAAATGCTCGAGCAAAACTAATTGATCGCGCAAATGAAATAAAAACAACAACGTTTGACTTAAGAATAGTAGATAGGAATATTGAAGCAATCATCGAGTTAGATTATTATACGTCTTTTATTATTATATAATAGAAGGGAGCAAAATTGTATGTATTATTTATTATGGGAGCAACATTTTGACCACCTTTTTAACTGTCTGAGACAAAGGTATTTACGTTGAGACTGGGCACTCTTCTTAATAAATTAAAAACCTATTAGAGTTTTAAGAGAGTACAATAGACCCATTCGGATTCATTTCTTTTTGCAAACAAATCAATCTAATCTATATCAGTATCAGCAAAAAAGCCCCTACATATCATATATAACCATATAACCAAGGTTAGGTTATTGTAGTCAACATAACAAGAATTTCGCAAAATTTCACGCAATGGTTCTATGAATTGACATCCTGTGATCTCACTATTCTGGATTATGTTCTGCAAAGAGATGAGATAAAAAGTCATTTTTTTATTCAAACAAATGAGATTTATGGGATGAGTTAGAAGCCAACATTCGTAGAGTTATGACCGATATATGATTATGCAGTCTCAGCTGTTTGAAAACTCGACCACCACATTACCTTTCATAAGAGTCAGCTGCAGCAAATAGAAGAATCATACCAAAACAATTATGGCCGAAAATATGTTACAAAGGATCAAA